GGTAATCTACTAATTGGTAGTTATAGTATTATTAGAGACGAACAAGGCAGGTTTTAATAATATTCAGTAGCTCTTAGCACAGAGGAACATAATCCAGCATTGCCAGGGTGAACAGAACTTTACTGTACGAAGAATAGTGTTTCTGAAGTCCATTAGCTGTAAGGTACTCAATATGACCAAAGGTGTCAGAATGTAATAGGTCTTCTGTATAAACTCTTTAATGGGTTGAAATATTTGTAGATAATATAGGTCTTATTTCTCGGTGGTTTGATTTAGAAGAATTAATGAAGGAATAAATTCAATGCATTGCTTTTTTCTTTTTTTCTTAAAGCAATATTACTTTGCAAAAACATCTTATAACCCATCAAGATTCTGTTAATCAGAGGTGGAATAGTCTGAAAGTTTCTTTATATAAAAGGGTGTCTGCACTTCTTTCTGAACTGTCACACACTTGATGAATACAAGTAATATTTTTAATATTTACTATGTTCACATTTTTGTTTGGCTGTTGGGCTGGTTTAGATTATATGTGAATATTTATTGTGTTATGTGATAGAACAATTTTCTATACCTTTAAATAAGGGTAAAACATTTCTTCTGCCATTCTGCCACCTTAGCTGAGTTTTTTGTCATGAAGAAATACTGACTTAAAATTCATTTAATAAAACTTTGAAATGTTAACGTAGAATAATGCCTAAGCAGATTCCTTTGGTGGTTTTACATGTCTCTTAAAACTTTTTTTCAATATGTAGTGATTCAGAGGACATTAAAAAGAAAGCAAAGGCGATCTCCAGAAAGAGGAGCACATCTAGTTCCTCTGATACAGAGTCCACTTCATCAGAAGAAAGTTCTTCAGACTCCAAGTCAGAATCAGACTCTAAAAGTGACTCTGAGTCTGGAAAATCTAGAAGTGCTACGTCTAGTAAGGTAAAATATGTTTTTTTAAAAAACCCTATAAAATACAAACCGATGCATCGAACTGTCTACATGCATTTCTTTCTGTGGGAATGGAGATGGGTAGTGGTTTTACGGTTATCTAAAAAAACAGAATTTCTGAAAAATTTTTGACCTTTCATAAAAAGACCAATCCTAAAGTAGTTTGATAGTTTAAGCAAGTAAGAATATTTTATAACAAAAAGCATATTTTGGTTTTAACTCTATTTTTACTCCAGATAGATGAAGAATAATAGAACCTAATTATTTTTTGATTACTGTTGAACTGGTGAAAGCATAGTACATCAGTAGTTCACAAAAATAATACCCTGACTTGGAAAGATTATTATATTAAAATAGGATCTTAAAATATAACTAGTACAGGACCTGGGTCTGACAGGAAGCAAAACCAAGAAACAAATGTTACTACATTGTTTCTTAAGAGTTTGAAGACATTGTAATAGAACCACTAGCTTGGTTTTAAAATTTCCTATTAAAATTGAGAATAGTGCAGTTAATGCATCTATACTTCAGGTGTATACTTAGATTGGTAGAACTAATATTCTTAATGAGTAATTGACTTTTTATTGCTCTCTCTGTTTGATAGGAATAAAGCTTATAAAGGGTTCTGTTACTTCAAATTCTATTAGCTTTCTTACAACATTGAGGAAGTAGCAACCTTTCAAATATGTCTTCTTTAAATTGGATTTGGAAGTGTGTGAAGATGCAAAAGTGTTTGACAGAGCCATTCATGTGTCAGTTAAGTTTTAATTGCTTACCTTAGTGAAGAGGTTAAAAGTCCATTATATGCAAGCTAGCATTATAGAGCTAAAGCTAATAACATGAACTGGTTTCTGTTTCTCTACCTACCTTTCACTTAAAGAATAAATAAATGAGGAACTTTATGCTAAATCTGTTAAGGTAGAAGAGCAAAAGAATTTCTGAAAATTATTGTTCTGTTATCAAATATTTCCTGGGCATTTCTTTCTATGTGTTTTATAAAAATATCAAGAGTATAATTGTAGCTCAGAAGTTTCCATTGTAGTACTGATCTGTGGTTTTGAAAAATTAAGTGATTCTCTGATGCCTTTCAAATTAAGCCAAGACATTTCTGTTAGTATTCACGTATAGGTTGCTGAACAGTCAAAACAGAAAACATTTGTTGCATCTGATGCAACTGTAGAAGCTGATGGATAGGTGTGTTTTGAACAGCTAAGAGGGAAGGCTGTAACTTTATTAAGCTGTTTAGGTGTGTTTCCTTTAATTGAGGAGGTAAGGCTCTGTATTTCTCTAAATCTTGAACTTACATTGTACGTGGTCTTTGTTTTGTAACTTTATAGGTCCACCTAGGAACTCTGAGTTGTAACCTTAGCTTTTAATCTATTCCCTTCTTCTACCAAGTAGAACAAAAGATGAAGTGACACGTAGCATTTGAGAAATGAAGGTGTGTTTCCATGGTTTGATTGTTGTTTGCTGCCCAAATACCACACTGGCTAACACACCTATGTCAAAGTTTTTTCTCGTAGAGAAGCCAAACTGGATCTTGCCAAAAAACAGTAGCACAACAAATGTAACCTAAATCGTCTCAGAATAAACTCCTTTGGTGCTAGATGGGACATGAATTAATTCTAACAGTTTGCAGCTTAGCATATTAGCACAGCATTTTTTCACCAGAAAGTAATTGGTACTCTGACCTCCTTAGTTCTGAGCAGCCACTGCAAAACCATATTCAAACAATAGTGTCTTCTCTCTGCTGCATTTGTCCCTTTTTCTCAGGATATCAGCACCATTGTTCATGATTTCTTTCCACTACAGTTATCTAAACTGTTCTGGTTCTTTCACAGGATATGTGTGGGCTACTAGCATAAAGAAGCTTTTTGTATTTTAAAAGAGCAATCAAGAGTGTGTGAAGTCAAATATACTGAATAATATGATAATAATATGTCCAAGGAGCCTGGGATTGTTTTGTTGAAGTCAATGGAAAATTGTCAAGCCCTTGCATTTTAAGAGAAGAGAAAGAACGTTGCAGTAGTCCTGAAGTCTTAATTGATTAAGAAGCACCTAAAAAAACGTGTTAGGAACAAGAAGTATTTATAAGCAATTGACAGAAGACTTGATCAGAGTCAAAGGGTAGAACTGAAAAATTGCAAAGCTTTTAAACATCAGAAACAATATTAAAACAAATAGCAATGGGTTTATATGCATGGCAGCAAGAAAAGAAGCAATGAGGTTTAAAAGACAGCATAAAGCTCGCTATGCAAAAAGCTAAATGTCTATGTCTCTTAAATTCTTTTTCACTAAGAAATCAGCACATTTAATGTCAGGGTAACAAACTATGGCTGATGGACTCTGAACAGCAATGGTCATACATGAAGGGGATAGGGAGGAAGTTAATTTAACACTCTTGAACATAGAGGACTGTTTCAGTGTACTATATTAATCCCTAGGACCATGAAGTTAGTTTCCAGTTAAGCCATGTTAAGCCATGCATTTATACTTGAGGTGTTTCTCATACTTGGTTATATTCAGGAGCATAATTGGATGAGGGGGTGGGGGGAAGAATCACAGGTATTTTGTGTGAAAGGTGATTGTTATACTAACTAGCTTAATAGATTTTTTTTTGGGGGGGGGGGGGGGATGCGCTTTTGGGGGAGAGAGAGACCTGTTTTGAGCCTTGTGATGATAAGTGGAGCTAATTGATGATAACCTAGATAAGGCCTTCCAAGCTGGAAAGAAAAGCAATTGTTAACAAACTTCAAAGAACATTATAGATAAAGTCTTCTATAGAGACCTTGTGTAAAGGTACATTTTACAAAAACCACCCATGTTCATTTTATTTCCAGGAAAATCTTGGAATATTTCTGCTTCCTACCTGACTTCTTTTCAGGCCAACTAGGAAGCAGACAGTTTCAGCCAGGCTCTCAGAAATGCATTTTTATTCTGATAGATTTTTATTGGAGAAGCCATTGCTTATATTATTCTGCTACAGGGTATTCTTAATTTGGTCAGTGTATATGTGGAGATGGTTCATTAGGATTTCCTTTCCTTTAGAATAAAACTGAAAAGATTTAGTGAAATACATATTGATAAGAGGAGTAGTTAGTAGGCTCTGTTTTCATAGTTTCTCAGTTTGTCACACATTATGAACCATGTTACATAGCTGAAGTTTTGGGTGGTGTTTACCATTCTATAGGTTTTGTTGGGTACCATTGCCATGTTCAGCAGAATTTTCGTAATAAAAAGGGTTGGATTACACTCACACGGGAGCTTAATTTGTGCATACATCCATGTGTTTACTAGCATTAAAACAGGTTACAAAAACTTCAGATCATTTTTCCTGAATATATTATTAATGCTTTCATATTTTTTCTCTTGAAGAATCATTTTGCCAAAGCTGTTGTGTTCACTGTAATTGAGCTGCAGTGAATGCAAAAGTCACTCTCTTGTACTGCAGTGTTTTATATCATTTTGAAATATGGATAGTTTGAGGTGTTCAAATATATATTATACTGTAAGCGTAAATACTGTAGAGCTAAAATGCAGATTTGAGGATGATGCATGTATAAGTACATGTCTCTACAGTGGGATTTTAAAATCAGCTACTGTTAACCTCCTTATACAAGTATAATACAGTCACTCAGCTGTTAAAAACCTGATCCACTATTTAAAAAATATACAAAAACAAATTGTCTATCTTTCTGCCTGATCTCTTTTCAAGTGCTAACACAATGGAAACAGTGGGTGATCTGTCAATGCATTTGGATTGTCAATGATGGTTTTGTATAAATATTGGGAGGATAAGAAATAAAATTCGCACAGCAAAATATGATTTCATCTGCCTTTTCTCTGCAGCTCCATGGCTCATGCTGTGGTGTGAAATTCTCATTTTACACACTTTGCAGGCGGAGCACATGAATTATGCATTGAGCAAGAGAAATCTCCTGCTTCAAGTCCTATATGCATTTACCAGGTTCTATCTCTATTACCAAGATGAATTGCAAATGGAAAAATGTTTGATGGAATATAGCTTAACTTCTTTGTTTAGTATTCTGCTTCTCCCGTAGTAGGCTCTCTTGGTAGGAAACTGTTTGGGTTATATTGTAGACTTAGTTTTAAGAAAAAAGATGAAAAATTATGTTACAGAGAAATGCCAGACACGTCAGAGCCTTTTTATTGTCTTGATTTGGAATGCAGAGCTTTTTTCATTCAATAGAAATATCTGTTGGTAGTGTTTGTTCCAGTCATTGGCTATTTATTATTCCTAGAAAGCCAATCAATTTTTTTTTCTTGGAAAAAACAAATTAAAAAATAATCATGTTTGTAATAGGCAAGACCCATGTAAATAGATTTCCTTGGTGTTTTGTACAGAATTACAGACAATTAATATATATATATCCCTATATAGAAATATAAATGTGAAAATATTTGTGTATGTGTATATATAGTACGCATACATACACATATAAGTAGGTGCGTATTTACTTAAGCTTGTCACACTTGACTGAAGTAGAAAAACAGACGTGATCATACTTTAACATTAGCTTTATCTTGACTTAGCTTGTGATTTTGCGTTTCCCAGATGGTTGGGTTGGGTTGGGTTTTGGGTTTTTTTCTTGTGTTTTTGCTTGTTTGTTTGTTTGTTTACAGTAAACTCATGTACAGTATTCTGATAAAGTGTGCAGTGGACGTTTCTCTTACCATGCATTATCTTGATGTAATGAGTCTGTACTTGTGCCTTATCTTAGGACCATACTGTTTTATTTTGAAGTATAAGAAATAAATTCTCTTGAAGGATTTTTTCCCCATTTTTAAAGATGAATTATGTAGTAGATGCAAAATAATATCAGTGCAGAAATGCATTTTATCTTACAAAATTACATATCAAGCTTTGTGATATGTCCTTAGTAACTACTTTTGAATGGCAAAATAAATAACAGAAAAAACAAACGGAAGCATACTATTGGTGCTATTGGTGACATAGTATGTTCTATCTTAATAGTCTTCAATAAACAGATTATCAGTAAGAGGATTTCTTGGCTCTGACTTCTAATTTTTTTGAACTTCGTGACTAGCAATGCTGCCATTGGCAGAACTGAAGCATGTTCAACATTTTCATCCTTGTGCTATAGCCTCTCGTGTGGGTGAGCCACTTTTTATAGACTTTAATTCAACTGGAACCTGTAGCTTATGAAGTATTCTATTTATCCTTATTTCACATATTTAAAAAAAAAATAGCCAAAAGAAGCTTGATAACTTGCCAATAATCACACTGGAAGATAAAAATAAAGTCTGGTAGTTGTGACCAGAATGGAACTCAAGAGAGCAGGTTCTGCAGCAGAGTCTCTCACTAATTCTGGACAAGACATATAAGGAATAGAATAACATCAGCACCATTTTAAATGTATTTTGTAGTATTCCCGTTGTCCAGAGGTGTTTTGTGTTTCATATAAATCAGTGACAGCAGAACACTCAAATACCATAACGATAAGGACCATTGAAGTATGTTGATTTAAAAATAATTCTAGTGACTTCCATTCTTCTCTGTCCACAAGATTCTTCTCTTACCAGAATATGTAAAGCACATCTGTAATGATTGCTTAAGTGACTACTGTCTATTTAAGCCATGGGTTTATTCGAAGAAAATTATGAGCAATGTGATTTTTGGCTCAAGTCAAGCCTGATAGTCATTAACATCAACAGCGATTAGTCATTAACATCAAATAGTGAGAGCATTAACTAGTTTCTTCCATGTTCTTTGGAGGGAACCATGGAATTCCTTCCATATTGGAGAAAAGTAGACTTGGTATTATTGTTAGTTTGCAACTGACCATGAGGCTAAGAGACTAGAAGAAAGGGAATGCACCTCTAGAAAAGAGGGGTCATTTTATTCTATGGTGATAGTCAAAGTGATTCTAGCTGCTGAGTTTCTGAGAGAACATCAAGGATGTTCTGTAGGAAGTTGTACCCTGAGTGCCTGAAGAGACTGTGACAGTTTGCAAGTAATGCTCAAGAAATGGAGGCCTGGATTGGCATACAGAGTTTTACTGATTTATTTAGACCTGCTCATTTATTAGAAAAGGTAAAAGAGTAATATATGTATATGCATTTGGCTGTCACTTGCTGTTGAAGCGGAAACTGGTAAACTAGAAGGTTCACAGAAGTGAGACTCCTGGAAAGACTATGTTTAAATTCCTTACAATACCTTGGGTAGTGAGCAATATCTTAAGGTCTACAGGCAGTTGACAAATTCTCTGAAAGAATGCCAAATCCTTCTGTCCGGTGAGTAAGCCAGAGAGAGCAAAGGCAGAAGAGTTCTTCAGCCAATCCAGACAAAGGATGCTTAAGAGTGGGTAGGAGTAGCGTGATGACAAACTGATGAGCGTCCAGCGGGTAACGTGTCCAGGTTCTGGCTACATCCAAAGATCAGTCCTTTTTACTGAAACGCCCTGTTGGGAGCCCATATTGAGCTGTGACACGCTAAATGCTGTCTTGAATCATCACTGTCTGGATGTGTTCTGTAGGTATGACCAGCACTCATTGTTATTAGATTTGTTTAGAACTTCTTATTTAGCTGTGTTGAAACAACTTTAGTCGAAATATTCTGTTTGCCAAGGCACTGAGATTACTCTATTACTGCTCTACTCTTTACTTAAAGTACTGCCAATCCTTACTAATAGAACTCATCTTAAGGCTTAAAATTGAAACTTTTTTGGTGACAAAAATCAACTTTTTGTTATTTGTCCATCAATTAAGTAAAATCCCAGTAGATGATGGGAAAGGATTCCATACTTTTAGATTAAGTGCAAATAACACTACTTTCTTGTTGAATGGATTTTGTCCTGTTTTTCATATGGAAACAGAAATGTTAGTACCCAAGTCTTTTGTGTTTAAAAAAAAAAAAGTGCTTCTATCTGTATTTTAATGGTGTCAACAGAAGTGTCTGATCTGTCATGAAGTTTTCTTTCAGTAGCAACTATTATTAAATGAAAACATGCGCTTCAGAAGAGTAAATGTAACTCACATGTGGAGTTTAGGTTCAGCTTACCTGTACAAAGAAATGTTTCCCACAAAGTCAATTCTCTGAATGCTGAGCCCTGAAAATGGATACATTTTTCTTTTACAGCAGAGAAAATAGACTTTGTTTTGTGAAAGTATTAAAGACTTTTATTTTCTTGATATGATAAATTATGAAATATTCATGTATTTTGACAGAAAGAAGAAAAAACAATACAAGATAGAAAAGCTCCAAATAAACAAGACGTGTTTCTCTTAGATTTAGATGATTGTAAGTATCTTGATTAAAGCCTCGTTTTTCCCATTGCATAAATTCCAGTCAGTTAATTCAATGAATTTTAAATGTCTGAAACATTGATAATGTTCATTCATCATACCAACTTCCTGACAAAAAAAAAAAAATTGCTTAGACTATCAGCTTATTTTTAAGCACAATTATTACAATATGTGATTTTGTTTGTTTTAGAACTGAGAAATAGTTTCAAAATTTAGAATGTATTGGTATGTAAAACATTTATTTTGAGAGTTTTTATATGTCTGGACTTCTTTCCTGTTAAAGTGGGCTTACTTTCTCAGGTGCCAATGGATGTTGCTTGTACAACATCTGTGCAACCTATGAACCAATTGTGGCACTATAATAAGATACCAAAAATCACAGTTTTGAAGAACAGATTAAAATGTAATCTTGGAAGGGTAGGGTAAAGCTGGGATTGGGTTTTGGATATGCTTTGTAGTGCCATTCTTCACAGTTATTTCTATAGGTGCAACACATACTAGATTTGCATTAATATGCACTTTGCACATAACTTGTAAATGAAAACACACAGTATGGATCAGACTGAACGTTAAAATAGAGGAAAAAATGGGAAAGGAGGACAAAATATTTTTAATGTTGTCATGGTTTAACCCCAGACAGCAACTAAGCACCATGCAGCCGCTCGCTCACTCCCCCTGCCCCAATGGGACGAGGGCGAGAATTGGAAGAGCAAGAATGAGAAACCATCCTGGGTTGGGATAAGAACAGTTTAATAATTGAAATAAAGTTAAATAGTAGTAGTAATAATAACAATATAATAATAACAGTGATAATAATATACAAAGCAAGTGATGTACAATGCAATTGCTCATTACCTGCTGACCGATACCCAGCCAGTCCACAAGCAGCGATTGCTGCCCCCCGGCCAACCCCCCCCAGTTTCTATACTGAGCATGACATCACATGGTATGGAATAGCCCTTTGGTCAGTTTGGGTCAATTATTCTGGCTGTGCCCCCTCCCAGTTTCTTGTGTACCTGGCAAAGCATGGGAAGCTGAAAAGTCCTTGACTAGCATAAGCAGTACTTAGCAACAACTAAAACATCAGTGTGTTATCAACATTCTTCTCATCCTAAATCCAAAACATAGCACTATGCCTGCTACTAGGAAGAAAATTAACTCTATCCCAGCCAAAACCAGGACAATGTAAATAAAGTGGGCTATACATATATCAGTTTTATTTGTATTTTCATTGTTTATTTTGAGTATTGGGGCTGTATGTCTGAAAAAATAATTTTCTGCTATTAAGAAACATATATACAAGGATAAAATAATTGGATCAAGATGTAAAAACTTTTTACACTTAATAGGTTATTGTCCTTCCCAGTATTTTAAATTTTTTAAAGTTAAGTATCAATTGCCTTTTTACTTCTAGTCTGTCCTGTGCCAACTCCTGTGGCAGTTCCTACAGCGGCTGTTTTGTCCCCAAGTTTAACAGCAGACCTAGAGGGATTAAGTCTGTTGAGTTCATCAGTCATTGATGTAAGTAGCCTTTAAAAATTGGGGTGGGTGGGGGTATATATATGTGTGGGGGGGAGTGTCTTAATTTAAACATTTCATGTGTTTTTGAGGCAGTCATTAAAGTGATTTTTTTTTTAAGTTCTTTCACCTATAAAGGTCTTGTATGAAATTCTGGTTTACATGCAAGTCTGGCAGCTTTTTTTGATCTGTAATAATTAGATTCTGAAACGCGGAGAAAAGTATGAATATTGCATGTCTGAGAAAGATGCCTTCAAGGATTTTTAACCTTCTCTCTCAATCTGTTTTTTTCTTGGCCTCAGGGAAACTTTAATTCACAAATTAAGTATCCAAACTATGCAAATCTTTCAAGTCATCTAGTTGCTACACTATCAAAAATAAACTACAATACCTGTTAATTCTCAGAGTGTTTGTTTACCATACGTGCCTCCAATTATGACGTTTTGCTACTTGGAAGTAATTTTTCATGAATATATGAAGCATAGCCCCTGGGTGCAAATAAAAAGGGTATAGATTTACAATCAGTGCTGTATCAGTATGTGTCATGATTCATTCTGTTAGTGCTTTCTGCTTTGTAGCACTTTCCATTAGGGAATCTCAAAACTATAGATGTAATTAAGGTTAGCAAAGTCATGGAGGTAGAGGGCATTCCTTTGTTGGGGGAAAGGATAGTAGTTTGTGTTCTTTTTTTGGTTGGTGGGTTTTTTTAGTCATTTTATGTGTCCAGTTTAGATGTGCAATTTAATTAGGAATTGCAGCAGTACAACATAGGATACTTATCCTTGTGAAAGTGGATGGGGGTGACCAGGAAAAATATCAGAGGCACAGGCATTTTTTAGCCTAGCATGGTTTCTAATGAGGCTGGTATAGAAAACCCTCACTGCAACTTTAAGAATTGCTGGTAAAGTACTTTGTGCTGGCTTTGGGAGAAATACATTTGCAAAATCAAATACTTCTTACATAAAGAAGGTGCATGAATGATTTGACTCAAGAAATAAAAGACCTTAGCTGATGATTCAGTTTCACGTTTACAGGCTTTAAAATTTGGTGTTGAAAAGGCAGACTTTCAGATAATGTTTTGGATATTAGTCTTATCTAAGAAAATTTCAAGCAGAGCAGTAAAAATCTGTGGACATGCAGTCACTTTACCTGATGCGTAGTCGTTCACCTGTCACACAGTCTGCAAATGCCAAAAATTCTCTTCCATGTTATTTTGCAGTGCAACATGCAGCGTTAGGTGCCAAGCCCGAGTTTAACTACAACTGTGTTGTTATTCCTGTGGTTGCAATCCCACAATTGCTTCTTTGCCATCCTTTATCGCTGTGACACCTCAAAACACAGGCAATCATCTGTTTTCTTGGCTCTGGGTTAGCTTAAGAATGATTGTGGTGTCTGTGCTTTACTTCACAATTATCATCTTGGAGGGTAAGTTAAAGATAGCAATCAGTAACATCAGATGCTTGAGAACACCCTGTTTGCCAATGTCTTTAGTCCTTTCATCATCTGCAGTACATGAACACATGTTCCTCTCCCACATTCATGCTTGCTTTCCTCATGATTGCCACTATTCATTTGCTAAATTGTTTCTCCCCATTCTTCAAAATGCAATGAAATAGAGGTGTTAGATAGAAAGAGCTAGAAGGTGTAGGCTAAACAGTGGAAGAAGTTCTGCATGAAAGGGTTGATTCTGCAAAATGCCTCTTTCTTGCTACGGCTGCATTCCTGGTAAAACATGTAACCAGCAAAGAAGCTGGAACATTTCCTCATACTCCCTGCTCTGGAAACAGCCCAAATCACCGAAGAACTAATTGTTGCTGCCTGGATAGTGATTACATGTTTTGGTCTGTATTCTGTTGTCAGATCTAAGCTCAACTCTCATTGCCATTGATAATAATTGCAGATGTACATGAGATCCTTTGCTGAGTTTTGTGGACCAGGAAGCAACAAAAATTAAACACTACGGTTAAAAAACTGTTCTTTCAAATGATAGCCATGTATTGTAAAAAGTCTTGTGTGCAAGTAGTTATATAACTACTGTCACGTGTTGTTCAGCACTATCAGGTAATTTTCTAAAAATGAAAATATGAAAACAGCTTTTAAGACTTTATGTGAGAGTGTCCCTCTTAAAATAGTATTTTGAATTTAATCTGTGATGACTAATTCTAAAAATAAGGAGGATAGTGTCATACTTCAGAAAACTTTTTCTTCTTTCAATGGGAGAGAAAATGAATTTAACTGTAGGGCACATGCCAAACTAACAGTGAGAAATTAATTTATTACTAGGCAATGGAGAGCATGGAGTAAAAATAGATAAGTACAGTATATGACCCTAATATCAAAGAAAGGCAGCAGCCACTTATCTTGGAATATATCAGACAGTCTATTATTCAAATCATTCAGCACTGTAATTGGATACAGCTTTTAGAAAACTTGTAACTCCAAATTCATAGCAGCTGAACATTGTAGAAAACATAATACAAGAATGGTTTTACAGTAATGGTATGGTTCTCTTTAAACCTACAAACCCAAAATGTCCTTGAGTAGAAACTACAGTGCACAACCTGATGCTTTGTCCTGTGGCACATTTGTTTTTATGGTTCATGTTTACATATAGCACATTTCCCCTTCATATAAACACACACACGCATATTATAGTTTGTTCCAGGAAAAAACAAAATTCTCTGGTAATTCATGGATAACTTCCAACTGGATGCAACACATAATAAATCCTTGTGCATGCTTCTGTCCTTGTACCTGCAGTCCATCTTCAGATGGCTCAACCAAACCAGGTAACTGAGGTCGCCAGAGGCTACTATGGGGCTTTTTGGGGTGTGCACGCAAGAGAAGGCGGACCTAAGTGCTTGGGGAAACTCTGCATTTGGAGTCGATTGAGTCTTAAGTGGATACATTTGCAGGCTTGAAAGATACTTGAAGGTGCAGTGCCAATGAAAAATAGGAGGCAAGAGGAAGCTGCAAGCTGTCAGTGTAAAGCAGTTATCTGAAAACACTGGAAATAGGTGTTGTCCCCTAAAGGGAGGTTATAAAGTGAGAGAAGAGGGAATTGAAAGCGAAACTCATGAATGACATAAGGACAGGGAGGGTTATAACCTGCTGCAGGAAATAATATTTTGAGCAGGAATGGTGAGAGGAGGAAGAGGAGAGCTATGGTATCAGAGAGAAGCCAAAGAGGGGAGTGATCATCTGTTCCTACCCATCACACAGCTGATGAGAAAAAAAAGCTAAACCACCTGTTTTTTTTCTCATTAGGATTTTAGGTGGTAAAAATGTACAAGCATCTGCTTTCCTAACTGTGTAGAGCCCTGAGTATGCTGCATATGATAATTTACTGGTAAAGATGACACATAATTTTAAAAATAAAGTTATTGAGAAGGAAATACTTCTTTGGTAGCAAGAAATTTGTTATGTTTCAGAACAGTGATAATGCAAGGGAGAATTGACAGCTGGATATGAGCTCTGACAGTAGCAGCAGTTGGATGGGCCAAAAAGTGTGTGGGAGTATGAGCTGAGTTGAGTAGGATTTGAGGGGAGAAGATTGTTTCCCCTGTCCGGAAATAGAGGCTAATTTGGGGAAAAAGTCAAGGGTGGATATGAGAAGTTCATGATAAAAGCATGTAGCAAAAGAGGGGAGAACTCATGTTGTAGTGAGGAGGTACTTATAAAAATATTTGATGCAACTCTCCTGGAGTACTGCGTCCACCTCTGCAGCCCTCAGCACAAGAAGGACATGGAACTGTTGGAGAGGGTCCAGAGGAGGCCACCAAAATGATCCAAGGGCTAGAGCACCTCTCCTATGAGGACAGGCTGAAACAGTTGGGGTTGTTCAGCCTGGAGAAGAGGAGGCTGCAAGGAGACCTTATTGCGGCCTTTCAGTACTTAAAGGGGGCCTATAGGAAGGATGGGGACAATCTTTTTAGCAAGGCCTGTTGTGACAGGACAAGGAGTAATGGTTTTAAACTAAAGAAGAATAGATTTAGACTGGATATAAGGAAGAAATTTTTTTCAGTGAGGGTGGTGAAGCACTGGAACAGGTTACCCAGAGAGGTAGTGGAGACCCCATCCCTAGAAACATTCAAGAAACATTCAATTTATTGTTGCCATTAATTACTGTGCATTTAAAATTATGGTCTAATTGTAGAAGTGGTACCGCTTTACTTACTAAGGTTTTATTCGGCATGTTCAGTGTATTCTCTTGATAGTAGCTACTACCAATGATATGTTTTTATTGTTTCCTACTACTTGGAGTTCCACAGAAACTGTTTAGGGAGGAGTAAATCATCTTGTTTTCTGTCTCATGTCTTCTACAGAACTTTTGACTGAGATCCACTTTGAGAACTTTTTTAGAGTGGTGATGCATAGAGCAGAAATAATAGCTTTTGACAAAAGTCAAGGTCGAGCTGCAGACCTGTCAAACCAGGTGATAAATACCTTTAATTTCAAATTGAGCACACTTACAGAATTCCTTGAGAAACAGTAAACATGAGCTCCCTCAATATTCAGCTAGAGATAATTTCAGAATAGGAGAACACCTTAAATGGTATTTTAATTTCTAAGTTGTCGAGGTAGTCTTTCCAGGGGAAAATTTTCTTATCACTTAGGTTGTTTCTTCCATTTAGGCTGTTTCTAGTTCCACTATAGCAAGTGTTAAGACTGACTCTGAAGTATATTATTTTCCTGTCTGAAGGATCTCTTCTTAGAAGTACCGGGAACACAAGGATTGCAATAATGCATTATACCATGGCTCTAGCTGGGTATGCAGCTTGCAGGAAGGGTTAGCATGAGGTGCTTAAGGATTTTCAAAGTCCTACAGTAGAGAATGAACAGTAGTTCTTCCAAATAGTTATACTGGTATGCACTCAACTTCATGAGTTTTATTTTTTCAGAGCTTTGTTAGCAGTAATTATTCTGTAACTAGATACATTTATCATTTATATAAGCTCTGGTCTGAGTTCTTACCTCAGGAAAGGCTGTATCAGAAGAAACAT